GCCGGACTCTTGTGCGAGTACGCTAAATAGCATTTTGGGTGTATGCAGGTTTTTTTGAGTTTACGAGTACAAATACCGTACTTGAGTAGGATACGGTGCGCTAGGGTATTGCGATTGTGTTTGCTCGGCGTGGATGTGATTGCAGGGTGGTTGTGACACGGGGGCTGGGATACCCCTCCCCTCCTTGGCTCTAACTTTGGGATGTTCATAAACCCCCTAAATACCGCTCTCATACAACGGTCCTCTTCACAACACCTCTAGGTTCAATCAACACTTCGTACAGCATATCATGGGTCAGATTGCGCATAAACACTCGGTCAGCGTTGGCGCCGGTTGCACCGACTGCGCCAACATGTACGATAGTTTCAATACTAATGTTACCATTAACGCGGTCGATGAGAAACCGGAGCTTCTGCGGTGGCTTTCGCCACTAGAGCCTCTATACAGACACCAGGGAGTGCGTGCCAAGAGGCATGATGGCGTCGGTAATTGGCTTCTGGAAACTAGCGAGTTTCTGGAGTGGAGAGGTGGCGGAGTGGATAAGGCTGTCTGTTTTTGCTACGGAGAACCAGGAGTTGGAAAGACATATCTGAGGTACGTGGCGTGACCCTTTGAAAGAAGCGAATACCGGTATCCCTAACGGCCAGAAATACTACTAGTTCACTGGTGATCGACAGCTTGTACGATCAGGCAAGGGGGAAAGATATCGCCGTCGCGGGTTTGTATTGCGATTACCAAGAGCAGCACGAACAGACAGCCACCAACATGATGGGAGCCATCTTGAAGCAGTTGGTGGTCAAGAACAGCGAGGTTCTGGGATCTGCACGAGATGCATTCCTGCAAGCGAAAAATGAGTGTGGCGGTCGAGGTCTGCGACTTCCGGATCTGGTGGGAATGCTGAGAATCACTATTGCTTTGCTACCTCAGGTGTTTATCTGTATCGATGCCCTGGACGAATGCTTACCTAAGTATCTGTCAGAGCTTCTTGAGTCGCTGAGTGATATTGTTCGGGAGCTACCAAGTGTGCGGGTGTTCCTCACTGGGTGGTCTCCTATTGAAGACCAAGTTACAGCACATTTCACCGCGGTTATTACGATCCCAATCAGTCCTAAATTACATGATCTCAAGATCTATCTAAACCGGAGGCTGAAGTTGGACACAGCACCCCGCGAGATGGATGATAAGTTGCGGACTGGTATTCTAGGGATTATAGAAAGCAGTATATCCAAATCGTTAGTTGGAGCATCAACACTTCACAATACATGAATGATTATATATTTACTAACGATCACGCGTAGGTTCCTCCTTGTTTCGTTAAGCATTGATGCGATTCTGGGAGAGGTGTATATCTCTAACAGAAGAAAAAAGTTGAACGAGACGACCAATGGTGATGGTTTGAAGGATGCCTACGCGATAACTCTAAAACGAATTAACGCGCAGGAGGGTGATAGGCCTAGGGTCGCAATGGAAGCCCTGGTGTGGGTAGCATATTCGGAGCGACCATTACAAGCAAGCGAGCTGTGCCATGCGTTAGGGGTAGAGATAGATTCTAAGGATCTGGATCCCGGAAGAGTTCTTGCGATCGAGACACTCCTAGGGATTTCTCTCGGGCTCATAACGCTTGATAAATCCTCGTCCACAATCCGGCTTGTCCACTCTACCCTGCGAGATTATCTGTCCAATACCCCAACCCTACCCCAAACCCCTCACTCCATGATCGCTGTAGTTTGCTTGACGTATCTCAATTTCCGGAGTGTCCGGACACTTCCGCCATCTCCTCACTCTGCCGGGTCAACAGCCCCGCTTGTAGGATACGCTTCGCGCTACTGGGAAAGGCATGCAAGAAGGGGGATGACGGAAAATGTGAAATCGCTTGTTCTAAGGCTGCTGGATGGATTCGGCGAGCACATATCCTCTGAGATACTCTTGTCATATGGGGATTACCCTATAGAGTTGCGGATGTGGTCTCTTGGTCTGGAACAAGAAAGGTTTGGGGGATTTACATGCCTCCACTGGGCAGCATCCCTTGGGATGTTGGAAATGAGTATCGCTTTATTAGAGGAGAAAGAACGGGATTTGAATGTGCCTGATACCACCGGTAAGACAGCAATCGCATGGGCAGCTGGGGGGGGGGCATACGGATATCCTGAAGATACTATTAGAGCAAAAGAATATCGATCCCAACATTGCGGATAACAATGGCCTAACACCGCTCTCGTTCGCTGCTAAGTACGCTCATGACGGAGTTGCTAGGGTCCTTTTAGAGTGGGAAGGCATTAACCCTGACCCAGTACACAAGGATGGCACAACACCGCTCTTGATTGCTGCTGAAAATTGGAATGTGGGGATATTAAAGATGCTATTGAAGCGGGATGATGTTAATCCGAACGCAGCAAAGAATGAAGATGGCCGAACACCCCTCTCGTGGGCTGCCTGGCGGGGGGACAAGGAAGTAGTTAAAATTCTACTAGAACGGAAGGACATCAACCTTGACCCCATACATCCCGATGGCCGAACACCACTCTTATGGGCTGTCTCAAAAGGGCATGAAGATGTGGTCAAATTACTCCTAGAATGCAAGGATGCAGCCTTTGGCTTAACAAGCAGCGATACAAAGCTAGTTTCCCCCTCAATCAAGTTACCCGTGCCGCCCCGACCTGTTCCTAAGTGGATCTGGTGGTGTCGGCTTCTACCACGCAAGCCTAATATCCCCGCGGCCGACACCCGATTAATCCGTCAGATCTTGATCGATTGTTTGGTCATTTCCGTTCCACTTTGTCTTTTGGCTTTTCTCAGTTGGATTATTCCTTCGTCACCAATTTCGTTATCCCCTCGCCGATGACCACCACATGGGAACGGGTGCGGGTGGGCTGTTGATGCTGGAAGGCGTCCACAGGTGAAAGGTGAACGCCAATAGTGGCGTATTCGGGTACCGGCGCAATGGTGGCAGAAGGTGCTGGGGCATGGTGGCTTTATGTTTAGAGGGCTTTAGGGAACTGGAGTGTTAGCATTGCCTCTCTCTTGCTCTTATTTTCTCTCCTCTCTTTTTGTATGATCTTTGAGGAATATTCTCCGCACTCACTTTTCCTTTGTTATATGCCAGAATTTCATGGGAAAACAGAATCCCGTATTATCGGGCAAGAAAGGAGACTTAGGTGCCATATGTCTTGATATTTTTTACTTCTCCATTTCTGTCATGTCTCTTGATTTAAGCACGAACGAAGTTATGCAACCATTATATTTTTATTTTACCTCTTCCTGTCAGGTCATTACATTTCGTTCATATTTATCCACTTTGCGCCATTAACAATATAGGGGCGAATGCCGAGGGTGAACAGGGGAGCTTGTCACTGATTGATGGAGGGTAGTCCGTAACATTATCTCCCTTTCCTTCCCCCCTTTGTTTTTGTCACCTTACGGCGTGTCAACACACTCGAGGTGCAAGTGGACGTCTTTGGCACAGCACTTATAGACACCTTTGTACCGTAGCTATTGTCAAGGAAGAGCACTCCCCTTAACACCTTACCAGAGCAGTCTCTAACAACACCACCACACTCTCCACACCCACTGTGATGATTAACAGGAGTGTCGAACTCACACTTCTCACCCTTTGGCACCTAAGAATTGGTTGCAATGCTATCCAGTGGCTCTCACCACTGGAGCTTCAGGGCCGATATTAGGGAGTGCGTGTCAATGGGCTCGACGGCTCCCGCAATTGGCTTCTGGGAACAAATGAGTTTCGGGAAGTAAGTACCGGTATGTTAAGGACGAGAAACATTAGTTTCCTAGTGACCGATAGGCTGAGCAATCACGCTCTCGAGGGAATTCGCACTGTCGGGGGGGGGGGGTACTCCTACCTCAGTGGCCACCAGGAACAGACAACTGCAATACGGTGTGAGTCGTTTTAAAGAGGCTGGTGATTGGGGGTGGCGAAATTGTGCAATCGGCGCAGGAGGTGTTTCTGAAGGCAAAAGATGAGCGCGACAGGTCGAGGCCAGCGAGTTCTGGATTCTGTGGGAATGCTGAAGTGGGCGGTTACCTCACTATCTGAGCTTTCCATCTGTATTGGTGCTCTTGCTGAAGCGATCTCGAAGCGAAGGATCTCCCAGGACTTCTGGCGTTGCTTGGAGATATTGTTCGGGAGATGGGTAAGCGGCCTCATGTCGATTGGGCCAAATTACATAATACACCACAAAAGCTGTTGCGAGGGTTCTACCTACGGTATCAGTCCTAAACTTTTCAACAACAAGGTTTACGGCAGCGATTAGGACAATGTTGACTCCAATTGAGTGGCAGGGCAAAGATGTAAAGATAGAATTTTAAATATCCTAACCGGAGAAATATTCTCATGAAGAAAACGATAAGGAATAAAAAACGGGAAAGACTGATATGATCCAAATACAGGTAACGGAGGAAAGAGAGACAGATTGGATGATGAACGAGAACAACTAACAAAGGGAAAACAAGCTGCCTTTTATCCTTCCCTGGATCATGCCGATCCGCTTCCACATACTTCCAGCGTATGCCGTGTTCTCCATCACGTTCACTTTCACTACCGCCCATTTGTCCTGCTTCAGCCGAGGGTATACTCTAGCCGAGGACATTCAGTGTTTCCGTATGATAGGGGTAACGCCCTAATATGGAGTCGTCGCAGGTATCGTCGCAGATGTTGTCGCATATGGTGTTTGATGTGTAGGACTAACCGGTAGTCAAACATAGAGGCGTCGGAGTAGTTGATATGCCAGGAGGGTTAGGGTTGTGAAGTCGTTGCCATAAGGAGAATATGCGGTGAGCACCAAGAAACACTTCCGTCCAACATAAACCACGTGATACCAAGAAATAGCCGGGGAGGGGGTTGGAGGGGTGCCTTGCGGGTAGATACCGTAATTACCGGTTCTCTGAGAATTATCCCACAAGAGGTACGATAACCGAAATGTGCGTTGAAAGATTGGCCTCTATCAGTGCATACCGATCATTCGTTTGCTAATTATGGTGCTTAGGTTCCTCCTACCAGTACAGTAGTTTCGCTAGCCATTGGCGCTATTCTAAGAAGAGTCACAGTGTCTAATAGAGACCGGGTTGTTGAAGGTGACCGACCGTAATGGACCGGGAGAGGCATACACAGAGACCCTAATACGAATGAGGGTGCAGAACGGTACCATATCAGATCCAGGCTCTGAATAATAATTACAATAGAAGCCCTGGCATCAGTGCCGAATGCGGAGAAAGGATTATGCGCTAGTGCGCAATTCCAAGCGTTAGGGGCAAAGATAGAATCTGGAAATGTTCTCACGATGCAAACTCTGCTAGGATATTTTTTCCGGGCTCACGACGGTTGAGGCATACGGTGCTCATCCACCACCCTCCTGGTCAGCTTTAGTTTAAAAGAGTATCATACCTGCCTAACGCTGTTCCAAATTAGCTACTACGGGGTCGATGATTCGCTAGACGTACAGTACCCCAATCCCCACTGTTTCTGGGGTCTTTCCCCCAACTCTTTGCTCAGCCATGACACCCCTCCCCCTGGCACGATATACCGGTGCTTCTAAAATACTAGGGAGAACGTGCAAGTAGTGAGGTGGCTAAGAGTGTGATATCGCCTGCCCAAGACCTCCGGACGGTCTGATCCGCTTATATCCTCTTTTATTATCTTTTTTCCTTTATGATAAGGATAGAGAATGGGCGGGAGCCGGGGTTCGATGGGGAAGATGGCCCTTGGGGATTTACAAGACTTCACGGGACAGCATTTCTCAGGATCCTGGAGATGGTTGCTACTTTATCGGGGATAAACGGATGCGACGTCGATACGGCGGATACTGTGGGTAGCACGGCACTCTCCTTGGCAGCTGGAAGAGGGACGACCAAGGCATGAAGATACTACTGCGGAAGGAGAAAACCCAATCCCAATACAGTAGATGCCTGATATGGCCTAACAGAACTCTTGTGTGCCCCTAAGCACGAGTGTGAGGTTGGTTATGTTGGGTGTCAATCTTAATACGAGTGTGGTCGAACATCATTTGGGTGAGCTGGCCGCTACGGAATGGAGGGAATAGGCAAGTCGCTTCTTGAGCGGGGAGATGTCAATCCAAATATGCCCGACACTAGATGGTATAGGACTAGATTCACCGGCCGCTCTGGAGGTCATCGAAGAAATAGTGGAGGCTATTGGAGCGAGAGGATGCTACTCCCGACACAGCGGAAAATGAGGACTATCGCCATTTTTGTAGGCTGCTGGGGGCGGCCGTGGGTGTAGTAATTATGATTTTGGAATGACAGGGTGCCAATCTCCACGCGGGGGGGGCCCTGGCTATGGCCGAATACTATTTTGTTGGCCGCTCAGAGGGGCATGAGGGAGAAGTAGGGATGTTTTTGGGACTGTAGAATGTCGATTCTAACACGACGGAGACTGAATATTGTCCAACACCTCTCTCGTTGGCTGCCCGGCGCGGGCTATGGGGGAGTAATAAAAATTCTGTTGAAACGAGATGACACCAAGCCCCACAGAAGATATGACACCAGATATAGCCAAACACCACTCTGATAGGTGGTGGGGGGCTAGAGCGAGGAAATAGCGAAGCTATTTTTGCAACAGGAGCACACCAATCCGACACACCAGACCTCAGCAGCCAAACAGGGCTTTCATTAACCTCCGCTGGGGCATACGGGAATCAAGAAGATGCCCCCGGGAAGTAAAAACACCCTTTCCGTCCCGGCGGATATCGGAGATACCGTGCCCTGGGTGTCCCTCAACTAAGCCATCAGACCTACCCCAACTTCCTATTCCGCTTATCCGTTGGTTTCCCCTTCCCCACCGCAGCCCTGCCCCCTTTCTCCCTCGATTGCCATTCCCCCGCGTATCGTAACCACCTCTTTGATTTTTCTTTTCTATCATCTCCTTTGCATCAACCTCTCCCTGTCAAAGGTTTTTATCCCGCTTCATACTTAGGATGTACGGAGTGGGTGGGGAGATGGCCCCTCCGGAACTAGGTTTAAAGGCGAACTCATGCGGGACTCGAATCACCGTAGGCCCTTTTTCTTTTCTTTGTTTGGGGGAGGACGGCACGTGATTTACGTCGCATAATTCATTGTTTTTCTATTTTGATATTCTCCCTCTATCAATTGTTCCTCGTCTCCAATAGGTACGTTGCCATGTACATCATACCATTAGACCACCAGCTTTTTCCCGCTTCTCTTTGTTTTCTTGGTTAATCACCTCTCGGGCTAGAAACATATCATAACATTACTATGTTAACTTAGATCCCCCTTCCCTATGTTCCCTAGCAATCAGCAACTCAAGGTTTATACACGAATGTTGATTCACGATATGAGCCAACACCTCCATAGAAAATCGGGTGCCTCGCACACTACCGGTAGTCATGCAAACCTGTCATACCATATCTAAGCCTGCGAAGACCGAGCCTCTGTTTCTCCGACGCAATGTACTGTAGTGCGTCGTGCTCGGGAAGCATGAGATGCGGCCACACAAGTGCAGCAAGCCCGGACCACCACGTCGAATTTACAACCCCCCCCCCCGCATTTCCTCCCCCCGGACCAACTCATCCGGCGGAGCCAACCTCAATTCTACCTGAGCAGCTCAACCCTCACCACAACCGCCCGCAATTCCTCCTTCCCCCTCGAAACGGGCAGTTTACAGGACGGCTCACTGACCGCTTGAGCTCCTGTGCTTAATCGTAAGGCTATCTTGTTGACTTGACCCCTGCACTTTCCCACTATTCCTTAACGGCATGAAGGATATGTTCCGGTTCAAGGGTGGAAAAGTACCTCACCCGCGGGTTGTTGGTTTGGTGGGTTATTGAACTCGTTTGTCGGAGGGGGTTGGGGCTAGGTCGGAAGGAGTGATTGCGCTGTCAGAGAAGCGGTGGGGGAGGAGCATACATGTAGGCTGCGCATCTAGCGAGTTAATGCGGGGATTTTAGTGCTTGCTAGCTTGTCCTGGGGTGGACGTAGGAGGAGCTGTGAGTTGTGAAGGGGGGGGTATCGTAGGTTAGAATAGCGGACAGATGAGGCTTAGGAATGACCGATTCGCAACGTGGTGTTTTGTGTAGCATACGGAGAGCAAGTTGGTTCCCAAGTGAATGACGCAATAGGTTTCATGGCTTCTACCTTATTTTTAAATACTCTTTGGGTCCGGGGGATTTTTTCGGGAATCCCTTTCGTGTCGCACAGTGTTCGCAACGGGCCAGACCGGACTGGGAGGACTGGAGGGCGTCCGCACTAGGCCAGGCCGTCCAGATGTGAGGCCATGGACTAGGCAGTCTCATCAAGGAGAATGGCCGGACTGGCCGGACTGGACTGGCCTGAGAATGGCCTACTGCAAATTGTAGGGGGTTGATAACAGGATATTGTGAGTATGGTATTTCAAAAAGGTTCACTTATTGGCTATTCAACCCTCATGTATTTTTTTTTTTTTTTTATAGGAAAACTGAGTTGAATGAAGCCGAATTCAAGATGAGAAAAGAAAAACTTTAGCACCGTAACAGTTTCCCCTGTTCCATCCTGCCTGCTTGCCTGCCTGCCTCTTCCAGCATACTACCCTGGGCTCAGCGGTTAGGCGGAGACAACCTGTACGGACTCAGAGTTGTCTAGCCCAAACGAGATTCATTTCTGTAGATGGAGATTGTCTAGGAAGGCTCAAACTATACTGGTTTCGTTTATGACTATTAAGGGTAAGGTAAAATGGGAAAAGTAGAGTAGAATCGTAAGAATAATTTATATTGTTAAGGTCTCTTCTCCATTGCTTGATGATGACTAAAAGCTTGAGAAGTACATCGATATTTATATTCTGTATCTGAGTGTTTGTAGACTACATCTATATATCATACAAGTTATGTATCTCTATTGATATAACTCACAATATAGGGTATTCTTCAAGGGTGCGAATGCCTAGAGACCCTGAAAACTACCACATCCTTTTTGGTAATTACTATTTTGCTAGTTTGGAAGCTATGTTGTCCCCAATAGTGATTATCTAATCTTTAGAGTCATTAGACTTGTAGTCTATTCCTCAAGTCGAACTGAGTTGGCCCCAATCATCTCCTTATCTATGAAATGATCAGTTTCACATGTGGGTTATATCTGCAGACATAGTCATAAATTCAACCTTCTTAGATCGCTGACTTTGAACCTCTAAAGCTCTGAATCTAACCAACAAATATCATGTGGATAAGTTCCTATTAATTCAAAGATAGCCATTATACAAGATTGGCAGATAATTTCTCGGTTGGTAACACTAGGTTGCTCTAGGTAGCAGGATTTCCAATGTTGCTTTAGTAGTGGGAATCATTCCCATAACCACAGTACATTCCTGACCCTAGTTGTAATACTCCATGAAGTCTATTAGTTTTTACAATAGTGGTTCTCTGAGTTCTTGACTCTTCTAGTTATTGTGGAGTGAGTGTGAATGCAATAGTTCCTTGTAGAGATCCTTTGACATTCGATACCATATTTTTGTGCAAAAGTGTCTTGTTACTTACTGCCAGTGCCAAAGATATCACATATTTGAAGCCTATTAACGCTCTGAGTAGTTGTTGAATTCGCTCTATTCTACATTCCAGACTTAGTTGAGGGTCTGCTCTCCTATGTCCTGCAAACAGGATCTAGCCAGAAGGACGGCAGTGACATATATGGTGTTATTCTTATACCTTCAATTCTGTGGTATTATAGTCACAGGATGCAACTGATATCAATATGTATGATGACATGCAGGTCCTGTAAGAGGGCCAGAGAGGGGTGTTGGAAATCAGAGCTTCCGATTCCAAGTGGGGTTACTCACTTAGGATAGTTCTGAAGTATTGGATTCTGATATTCCTAATACCAGCTTCTTTAGTCAGAGGTCTCCTGTGTATTCAGTCCACTGGAAAGTCAGAACCTAAAACTCCAAGCCCATATTCTAAACTCCCAAATCACTTCTCCTGGATCAGAAATCATTGCTCATCTGAGTCTCTAGTTGGTTCAAGAGGGAGTCGGCCTCCAACGCATTAAATTTCCAAGTACAAGGTATGATTTTCAAGCTCCTTCAAGGTAGAGGTGATTGTAGATACATCTTGGAACAGTAATATGTTCGCAAGGTACTAGTCATGTATGGAGCAAGTGTATGATAGTTTAACAGGTGGCCTACTCTACCAGAGAGGAGGTGAGAGCGGTAACTAAAGGAGGCTGCAAAGGTGTACTGAGAAAACAAAGAGTAACCATTCAACTAAGTATATTAAAATACTGTTTGTTGAAGTCTGCCTTTTCCATCATGGGATCAGGAGAACTTTAAATACACAAATCTGTTCTTGTCTAGCATGAACAAAACTACTCAAAGGTATCAAACAATACACTTTGGTAAAACAAAAGTATCAAAACTATACTTAAAACAAAACATAAAACAAACCAAGTATTAAAGGATACTTAAAACAAGCTAAGTATTAAAGCGATACTTAAAACAAAATATAAAACAAAACAAATAACCAGGTACTGGTACCGGTTACAGGAATAAGATAAGACCTGCTTGGTTCCATAACCTTTGACATTCTCCAGCTGCAATAATGTCTTCTCCAAGTCAGTTTCGATGGTTGGTAATCGTGATTTTTGTACTAGAAATATATTAATAAGGCAAATAGGCAAGCAAAAATAAATCCAAGATACCAAACCTGCTAAATACACGCTTAACCTCTGTATGAGGAGGTATTTTCTTGCTTTGAAGAATAGGTTTCTGGACTTTATCTATTTACTGCTTATAGATAGCCATGCCGGAGACCAGTGGGGCAGTTTTTTAAACAGAGGACAGGTTGGGTATTGGAGGCTCCAGGCGAGACCCCTCCATGTTCAAGTCATGAGATCAGAGGATAGGGCACCTGGCTGCTAGTGTGTATCTTTTTAGAGTAACAGATTTTTTTCTGGCTGTGGGAGAACAAGGTGAGGTGGAGATGTGAGTCTTTATAGTATGAGCAGATATGACCTCATGCCTTACTGTATGTAAAACTGGAGAAATAAATGAGATACTAATAAAAAAAACAAAAAAAGGACCTCCTCTACATCATATTCTGTTACTCCTATTTTGCTCTTATATAGTTTGGCAATACCACGTCGGGCGCGTATCATGGGCCTGCCTACTCTCTGCTGCCTCCTCAAGGGTTCCTGCCTAGGAGTACAGTTAACTCTTCCATCTTCTACTGCCTGTGCCTCGCTTCTCTCTGGTCCACTTGATGGGAGAGTTATCTGAGCTTGCCCCGTAGTCCTGTCTTGCTAATGGGGAGTCGCTTAGCTATGGTACAGTTAGCTTTCCCTTCGTTTCACGACGGCGCTGGCAGTGGTGGATTTCTTTCTCATCACTTGCATGATCCCTGTTGGGAAATGCCACGGCTATTAACTTCGTGGTCTGTCTGGTGGTAAGATTTGACCTTACCCTCCTAGCCACTCAGTTCAAGTCAGGTTGCCTTTCTCTACTCATCTTTCTGAATCCCTACAGTCATTTGGATTTCATCTACTTAGTGATGTGATCTCTCTCAGAATAAGGGACTATATGAGAAATGCAGTAAAATAACAATTGTTTGGTTTTCTAAAATTGCCAGTGGGCTTGTGTTAGGAATACCAGAACCCGATACCTAGAAACCACCCTAAGTAGGGTAACTCCACTTGGAATTGGAATCTCTGGTCTCCAACACCCCCCTCCGGCTCCCTTATGGAGCCCGCGCGTCATCACATATATCAATCTCAGTTGCGTCCTGTGACTACATTACCACAGAATTGAAGGTGTTAAATTAACACCATATACGTCGCCGCCGTCCCTCTGACTGGATCCTGTTCGCAGGATATATGAGAGGGGACCTTCGGCTAGGCCTGGGAAGTAGAACAGATTAGTTCCGTCAACTACTCAGAGGGTTACTAGGCTTCAAAGATATGACACCTTTGGCATGGGCCGTAGGTAACAGGACGATTTCGCACAATGAGATAGTATCAAATAGTAAAGGATCTCTACTAGAGACCGATACAACTGCATACACCAGAAGAGTCTAGAACTCCAAAAGACACTACCAAAGAAGCCAACGAACTTCACGGAGTGTTGCAACTGGGTTTCGGAACACGTTGTAGTCATGGGGTGATTCTCGATACTATAATCGTTACTGAAACCTACTACCCAGAGAGCAACCAAAGGTTGCTGACCGAGGGATTAATTACCAGTCTAGTGGAGTAGCTTCCTGCGAGTGAATAGGAAGTCATCTAAAGAAAATCTATCAGTTGGGTATGGAGTTACAAAGAGTCGAAATCAAATGACCTACGATGGTTGTAATGATGACTACCTTTGCAGATATAGCCATGGATAAGACTGATCATTTTCTCAATGGCGAAGACAATTGAAGCCAACTCAGTTCTACTTAAGAACTAGGCCATAAGTCTAATGACTCTGCTAATCGGGATATTACTATTGAGAACAGTACATTTTCTAAGCAGAAAAATAGTAATTACCGAAGAGGGTGTGATGGTTTTCAGGGTCTACAGGTGTTTCCACCTGGGAAGAAAACTTGACGTTGCGAATTACGATTGAAGAAGTACATAGTTGTATAATAAATAGATGCAGTCAGTGAACACTCAGACTCAGAATATAAATATCAAAGTACCTCCCAAGCTTTAGATATTATCAAGTAACGGAGAAGAGATCTTAACAATATAATATTGTTTTTACTATTCTACCCTACCTTACCGACTTTACTTCGTGCCTAGTAAGTCATAAACGAAACGAGCCAAGTCTGAGCCTTCCTAGACAATCTCTGTCTACAAAAACAAATCTCGATTGCCCTAGATAATCTTGAAGTCTATCAAGTTGTCTCCGCCTAATAGTATATTGTTAGATCTCCTTGTTATCAAGGCTCTCTAATCGGTTACCACTCACATAGGTTTGATTCACACTTTCAGTGAAGTCCTCGATACTACGGTTGGCCTAGATACCCTTGGAGAACTATCCCGAACCAATTCAATTTTCGAACCACTGACTAAGATTCACTTACCATCTATTGGACAAGTGTTTTCTACTCAGTTTGAGCTTTCAGAAGTGCCATTTCTGTTACAAGAAGCTCCTTCGTAGTATACTGACCCCAACCTAGTTCCTACGGAGGAACAATTTCAAAGAATATATGAAACCTGGTACGGACCAGAATTCAGTTAGAAACCCTTCCTTGACTGGGATACCAGCGAGGAAAATTCTCTTAGCAGCAGATTCTCTGCTACTATATCTCTAGCATGGAGACTCGGAACTCATCCGAACTCCCATTAAGATCTATCTTCTCCTACCGCACGACGTGGCCAGGACACCAAGTGTCCTACCGCATATTCTACTTAAACGGAAACATCCCAGAATGCAGGCTTCATAGCCCGCTTACGAGAAAAAGAACCTCGCAAACGAGCAAGAGAGATGGCTCAACCTCCTAAGCAGATCCTTCCAGGAGAACCAATGGATACCTCGGG